GGGAGAGAAACATGGTTTATTCTTGCCTGGTACCACTGTCCCAAGGCCAGTGGCCAGTTGGTCACCAGCAGAAGGCTCACTCCCTCTTCCACTAGGGTGAGCTGAGCAGAGGCTCACAAAGTTCTGCAAAGACCAGATGAGGAACTGCTTTAATGAGGTCACCAAAGCTGGCATGCAGGGGTGGTGATGCGGTTCAGTGGAAGAACATGCAGCTAGCCTCTGAGCTAGGCTCGGTCAGAGCACCCTGCGGACATGTGGTGTGGAGGGGGCCATGCTCCAGTACCAGCACTGCATGCAGGGGTACCCAGCGCTACCTGCTGACAGTGAACACACCTGGAGCACGGTCAGCTCGCTGAGAGCCTCTTGCCCTGGGCCACCTGCTGGACTGACCCAGACACACATTCTGTGCAACCAGCAGTGGATACGGTCTGTGGAAAAAAGAGCTGCAAGCTACAGCTCCAAGTGACAGTACCATGGCCACCACCAGAACTGTGACAAAAAAAGAATGGCTGCGAAGGCAGGTTCTGCCTCCTCAAACAGGAGGCACACAGGCCTGGATTCGGATACCAAGTCCTCAATGGAAGATACCACCTTGCTGAACCACCCCAGGACCTCACTGGGGACTCTAGGCAGGACTCCACCCTGAGCCACGCCCCCCAGCCCCTGACTGGAGGATTCTAGGCAGGACTCCACCCCTGAGCCACACCCCCAGCCCCTCACTGGAGGACTCTAGGCAGGACTCCACCCTGAGCCACGCCCCCAGCCCCTGACTGGAGGATTCTAGGCAGGACTCCACCCCTGAGCCACACCCCTAGCCCCTCACTGGAGGACTTTAGGCAGGACTCCACCCCTGCTGTTCTTGCTTGTTTGCTTTGACATGTGGTGTGGCCATAACTGACTTTACTTTTTTTCTGCTTATTTATTTGTTCTGTATGTTTGTGAAGAGGTGTGTGCATGCCATTGTGTGCGTGTATGTGTGTGTGTGTGTGCCAGAGAGCAATATGCAGGAGCTGTTTCTTCTATCTTGTGCTGGCTACATTTATGTCAACTGACATAAACTATAATCATTTTGGAAAAGGGAACCCCAACTGAGAAAATGCTCCTTCAGCTGGACCTACGGACACTTCCTTGATTGACAATAGGTGGAGAAGGGCCCAGCTCACTGTGGGTGGGGCCATCCCTGGGCTGGTATCCTGGGTTCTATAAGAAAGCAGGCTGAGTACACCATGGGAGCAACACCCCTCCACGGCCTCTGTGTCAGCTCCTGCCTCCAGAGTCCTGCCCTGAGTTCCCGCTTCTCTCCTTCAATGATGGAGGGGTTGAGGGTTTTAAGCTGAAATAATTCTGACCCCCTAGTTGCTTTTTGTTCTATCACAACAGAAACCCTGAAGCACACCCCATGGTCCAGGGCCAGTCAGGTCACCAGACTTGGCAGCACTCTCCCCTCTGGAACGTCTCGCCTCATACTGTCTGTCTGTATGTCCTGGGGTCTAAGACTGCAGAGCTGCTGCAGTTAAAAGCACTGTCCTTATAGAGGACCCACATGGAGGTTCACAACTGTCTATAACTCCAGTTCAGGGATCCAATGCCCTCTTCTGACCTCCTCAGGAGCCAAGCATGCACACGATACACAGACATACATGCAGATAAGACACGGCACGTAACACAGAATAAGTGAAAAATAAGTAACTAAATAATGTTTGAAGTGACCAAGAGGGATAGGTATAGTGGCACAGACATTTAATCCTACTGGGGAGATAAGAGGCAGGCACATCTCTGAGTCCAAGGCTAGCCTGGTCTATAGAGCAAGTTCTATGCCAGCCAGGGCTACAAAGTGAGATCCTGTCTGCACACTGTGGCTTGGAAGACGGGCCAGTACAAGGACCTGAGATGAATCTTCAACACCCACATAAGAACCTGCGTGTGTTCACACGTTCCCATAGCCTCAGAGCACAGAGGAGAGAGGATGGCTGCAGCTCGCTGCCCAGCAGCCCAGGACCAACAAGGGCCCGGAGTAAACAGAATAAGATGGAGGTGACAGAGTAGGACACACGCACACACACGCGCACGTGCACACACACACACACGTACACATGCTCACCCCACACCCCACCTGCTGTCCCACTCTGCCCACACTCACATGTACACACATACATGCACACACGTCTGTGGAAGCCTAGAGCATGGCTCACACCTGTCACCCTCTCACAGGATTCTAAGGCCAACCTGGCTATAGAGTGAGACAGCCTCAAAGCTCAACAGAAAATGACACAGCCGTGAAATGACAGGGATGCTGTCCTCCAGGACCAGGGGCACCCCAGGCGGGCATCCTTTGCCTGTTCTTTGCATATGGCGCTAGCAGTTGCTGACTTCACCCTGTCCTTGACACCTATTTTCACACAACTGGATCTCCATGGTCCTGCATCCTGTGGTGTCTCATCCTCTTTATGTTATTTAGGGTTTTTTTTTTTTTTTTTTTTGAGACAGGGTCTTATATAGCCGAGGCTGGCCTTAAACTCCTGAACGCTAGATGACACGTGTACTCACCCAGCCAGCCACCTCCCGTGTTCAGAAGGCGCCTCACCAATCCTACCTACAGAGTCCTTTCACAACAAAGCTCTCTCTGCCAGGGCCTGGGGTGAAGCATGGACAAATGGTTTACACATGTTTACAGCTGCCCACAACCTAGAGGAGCTTCTAGAGGGCAGGACAGTGATGACAGTGATGACAGTGGTGACAGTGGCACCCCTATCTTCTTGGGATGCTTCCTCTGCAGAGGTCACAGATGGCAGCAGACAGCCCTGGTAGCCAGTAGTACAAGACAAAGTACCAAAGGGTCAACTAGATAGCTCAGCAGGCATAAAGGTGATTGCTGCCAAGCCCGATGACCTCAGTCCAACCTCCAGGACACATATGAGGAAAGGCCAAATGGGTCTTGGGGACTGAACTCAGGTCCTCAGGCTTGGCGGAAAGCGTGTTTACCCAGTGTGCCTTCGCACCAGCCTGTGGCGTTCCTGATAAGGAATGGGGCATTGGCAAATGCTCCATGATGGTTTGCGCATGGGGACCATCTCCACAGGACAGCTGGAACCACAGGGAGGGGACGTGGTGAGGCTGCTGAAGGGGCCAAGCTCCTCTAGGGCAAAGAAACTGTTCTGGAAGACAGTGGTGTGATCACATGATTCAAGGAGGGAATTTAGAAGCCTGTGAGTGCCACTGGTCACATACAGACCTCAAGTGCACTCCAACCAGGCTGTTACATCTTTTCAGGACAGGTACAGCGGGCCCCACCTGTCCTCCGAGGGCTCAGGAGTGGAGGCAGGAGCATCCAAAGTCATCCTCAGCTATTCAGTGAGATCAAGGCTAGCCTGTGCTACATGAGGCTTGCCTCAGTCATCTTTTCCACAATCATTCACTCTCAACCCCACGAAGAAACCAGACGTCCAACAAAACGTCAGTCATAAAACTGTTCTGGTTACACTGCAAACATTTGACACCAACTGTATACAGACACCTACTATGTGCTAGAAACAAGAAGCAAACTCAACTGTAAGTGATACAGGAATGATACACTTTTTTGTTTGTTTTGGTTTGGTTTTTGGAGACAGAGTTTCTCTGTACAGTCCTTGCTGCCCTGGAACTCACTCTGTAGACCAGGCTGGTCTTGAACACAGAGATCTTCCTTCCTCTGCCTCCCAAGTGCTGGGACTCAAGTTGTGTGCCACCACCTCCATCTAGCAGATGACACACTGTTCATGTGTTCATTCATTACCCTTTCTCAATGCGCTGAGGGAGGACATGGCACCCCTCCTGAGAGCTCTGGGGGACAGTCTGACTGAAGGTGAGAAAGCCACCACATTCAAACACTTACTTTCATCTATGATGCCACAATCTTGGGAAAACAAGCAACTGACTACAAGATAACCTGACCCAAAGGTGCCTGCTGATGAATCAAAGCCTCACTTACATGCTCCTGGCAGGTCACAATGGGACTCGGAACCCACGCCTAAGGGTGTGCAGAAATGCCACACAGCAGCAGCACCTCCTTCACCCTTGAGGAGCGTCTGATACCGAACACTTGACACGGAAGGATAAGGTCCCACGTTCACTCCACTTGGCCAAGAACCCAGCAAAGCCTGCCACTCCTGTCAAATGGGCAAGGCACCTGAGACAGTCACACCCTCCATCCCAATCAGGTGGCAGCTGTTCCCTGTCACGGATGGAGACCCGTCACCTGGTCCCCAGCACACAGGCTGCATGAGAACCAAGCAGCTACCTCTATGCTTATTCCAAACATGGAGGACCACTCAGCTATCCAAGAGGGATAACATCTGCTTCACAGCAGAAGTAGGAGCACCCAAGGAAGGCACAGGTGATGATGATACAGTATCACCTCCTCCTCAGGTGGCAAAGGAATGACAACTGTGCCCTCAGATAACGATGAGGGGACCCCCTCTCCTTTAGGTAGCAATGAAGGGTGACAACCGTCCACTCAAATAGTATAAAGGGTGACAATTATCCCCTCAGGTAGCAACAATGGGTCCACTTATCCACACAGATAACACTAAGGGAACAACTATCCCCTCAGGTAGCAATGATGGAGCCACGTATCCCACCAAGTAGCAATGAAGGTGATACCTGCCCCACCAGGTAGCAATGAAGGGTGACATCTGCCCCCTCAGGTAGCAATGATGGGGTCGTAGGTCCTATGAGGTAGCAATGATGGAGTTCCTGTACCATCAGGTAGCAATCAGGGGGGTGACACGTGTCCGTTCTGATAGCTATGATGAGGGCACATGTCCCCTCAGGTAACAATAATAGATGACACCTGTCCACTCAGGTAGCTGCGATGGGACCACCTGTCCAGTCCAAAGAGCAATCTCGCGAGCAGCCGCTCCGCACCGGCTGGCAGCGTGGGGACACCTGCGGCGGCCGCAGCCCCGCCCCCGCGTCTCTTCCTCCTCCCCTCCCTCCTCCCCTCCCCTCCCCCGCGCTCTCACCCGCGCGGCCCGCGTCAGGCTCAGGTCCTTCATGACCTCCTCGAAGGCCGCCGTCTCCTCCGCCTGCTTCTGGTTGTGCAGTGCGATCTTCTCGCTAAATTTCCGCGGATTGTTCGAAGTCGCCATCTTCTCGCCGCCTCCTCCTCCTCCTACTCCTCCTCCACCTCCTCGCCCCCCCACTCTCGGGCGCCACCGCGCAGGCGCCGGCCAGGCCCACGGCCGGAGAGTAATACGCAGGCGCAAGCACGGCTCAGAGCGTGGCGCAGGCGCACGGGAGAGGCGTGCGGCGCGGGGGTGAATACGCTTGCGCGTGCCTGGGCAGCGCGTTGGAAGCGCGGGAGGGGCGTGGCTACGCAGGCGCACTGCAGCGCGCGTGGTCCGCTGGACAGCGGTCGCCTGGTTGAGGGTCCTGTCCCATCAGCGAAGTGCTTGAGTGGCGGAGGACACGGCGGCACTGGTGCCTTCATTCACTGGACTCCAGCATTCACTGAGGACTTGTGGAGCGCGCCTGCTGAATACCAAGGCACAGGCGTGAACAAACAGAAATAGTCCCTCGGCTAGTGGGGTACACAGCCGGGGAGGGGAGCAGACCTCCTACCAGGAATCGAGCAGAGGTCCCGAGGTGCAGCTCCTGGACAGAGCCTGGCTTGGCACACAGAAACCGGGGTTCGGTCCCCAGCAACACACACACAATCATAATAAATGGGAGAAACGTGCTGCGCCTTCTAAGAACAAAGACAGTGTTGGTCTGCTGGAGCCAAGGGGATGGGGAATTCAAGGCATCCTTACCTGCAGACTGAGTTCAAACCAGCCTGTGACACAAGACTCTGAGAAAAACAAAGGGGGCGGGGGAGAGATGAGAGATGGCTCAGGGATTAAGGGCACATGCTGCCCTCAGGAAGGACCTGACACTGTGATCCCATGGAGGCTCACATGCCCTTGCAACTCAGGTTCTAGAGCATCCAACGCCCTCTTCTGGCCTTGGCAAGAAGTTAAATACACACATAGCATGTGCACACACACAGATGCAAAAGTAAATGTTTTAAATTTAAAAATATTAGAACTCAGGCCAGGCATGGTGGCACGTGCCTTTAATTCCAGCAGAGGCAGGCAATTCTCTGTGAGTTCGAGGCCAGCATGGTCTACAAAGCGATTACCAGAACAGTCAAGACTACACAGAGAAACCCTGTCTTGGGGGAAAAAAAAAAACAAAAACGAAAAACAAAACCGAAACAACAAATAAAAAAAAATTAGAGCTAGAGAGAAGGCTCTGTTATAATAGCATTTGCTGTACAAGTAGGAAGAGCTGAGCAAATCTCCAGCACACACAGTAAAGCTGGGCATGGCCATGCATGCCTGTGACCTCCGTGTTAGGGAACTGGAGATGGGGACTAAAAGATGAGCCCCCAAGTCAGTGAGAGGCTCTGCTTCAAAGGAATAGGTAGGAGGGATTAGAAAAAGACACCTGACATCCTCCTCTGGCACACATGTACACACACACACATACTCAGTGTTGAAGGAGACTGTATGAAACACAGACCCACACAGGAAAAGAGCCTCAAGGTGGTAAGACTTTGAGGACCTGGGCCCAGCTGTGCCTGATGCTGCAAACCCAGGTCTTTCAGCTACAGGAGGCCATTGCATCCTTCACAATTTACTCATCCGTCTTTCCTACCTGGCACTGCCTGAGACCACCATTTCTGTCCAGCAGAGGGGAGATGGGACACACTTCTGTCTACCAGCTAATTCTCACTATTGTCCTGATAGGTCAGAGGGCACCAACAAAGCCTACAGCTGCCTGGAACAGATTTAAAAAGGGGGACCCTGGCTAGAATTGGCCTCTGACTGTGATCTGGCTGTCTCCCCACATGGCTTTAGAAGGCTTTAGTGACATTCATGTCATTGATAAACACCAGCTGTCTCTGCCACTTACTCTGGTCTGAAGGGAGCCCATCACAGACACAACAGGACGGAGCAGCCATGGGCTGGGAGGGAGGGCTATGCCCTACTCATCCCATTCACCCCACAGCCTTGCCTGTCACTGGGTCAGTCCTGCCCCCCAGGATGGTGGACGAATGGCTTGACCATGACTGGATCCATTGACCACTGCCCCTCAGAAGTGAAGAGGGAGATAGGAGAGAATCACGTCCGGGAGTCCCCTCCCTTATTTTCTCACACTTGTTGTCCCAGCACTGGGGAAACTGAGGCAGAAGGATTGACAGTTCCCATGTAGAGCCGGGAGAGATGGCTCAGCAGGTAGCATGGTGGTCTGAATACATACGGCCCCTGTAGGCTTATACATTTGCCTGCTTAGTTAACAGATACTGGCTCTATTTAAGACAATCTAGGAGATGCAGCCTTGTTAGAGTAAGTATGTCACTAAGGGTGGGCTTTGAGCTTTCAAACACTCAAGCCAGGCCCAGTGTCTTCCTTCCCAGCTTCTTCTCCAGCACCTGCATGCTACCGTAACCCCCTCCATGATGACAATGGACTAAACTCTGAAACTGTAAGCCAGCCCCATTACATGCTTTCTTAATAAGAGCTGCCTTGGTCATGGTGTCTCTTCACAGCAATAGAACAGTGACTGAGACAGTTGGTAATTGGGTTCAAATCCCTGTCTTCCACACAGCAGCTCATAACCATCTGCAGCTGCAGCTCCAGTTCCAAAAGATCCAGCGCCGCCACCTTCTTCTTCTCCTTCTTCTTCTAAGAATTATTTATTTATTTTATATATATATGTGAGTGCACTGTTGCTGTCTTCAGACACACTAGAAGAGGGCATTGGATCCCATTACAGATGGTTGTGAGCCACCATGTGGTTGCTGGGTATTGAACTCAGGACCTCTGGAAGAGCAGCCAGTGGTCTTAACCGCTGAGCCAACTCTCCAGCCACCAACGTCCTCTTCTGGCCTCCTGTTCTCACTGTACTCACAAAGGCATACAGAAATAAGTTTAGCTAACTCACTCACTCACTCACTCTCCTTTAAATAAAATACACAGGAGCAGGAAACTGGCTCCGTGGGTAAGCAGGCTTGCAGTACAGGCATTAGGACTGAGTTTGGATCCCCTGCGTGCATGGAAAACACTGGCCATGCTGTAACCCAGCACTGGGGAGTGGAGGCAAGTGGATCCTGGAAGTTTTCAGGGCCAATCGTCCTGGCTAAATGATGAAAGACTGTCTCAAGAGAATTAGGGGTGATGAGGATGGTGGACTATTCCAGCTGTTCTGCCCTGATCTCTGCGTGCTCACAAATAGACACAAAACACTTGCATGGATGGAACCCACACACAGACTCACACGTACACACACTGAAACACATACGCTCACACAGACTCACATTCGCTTACACAAGTCATTACCATCATTAGTGTGTTAACGACAGCTTAGCAAGTTGACCTTGCTCTGTGAAACCAGGCTGGATGGATGCTGTCATTAAAGCCTGAATCATCCAGCCACATGGCCTCAAGCTCTCAGCATGAAAAGGGACTTCTGTCTGCGACCCTCTCCTGGATCCTTCTAGGTCTCTCCTCCAATGTTTCAGCTCATACCTGTCTGAAAACAGCTTCGCTGAGGAACTTTCTGCCTAGGAAACTCTTATGTACCCCTCAAAGTCTGCCACAAAGACTCCCTTTGCAGAAGTCCCTTCTCGATTTCCAAGCAGAGGTGAGTCTGCCCTCCACACTTGCCTTTCCCTGGGTCACTCTCTGGGAGGGAAGTACAGATGCTTAAGAACATTATTTGTCATGCAGTGCACACCTTAGAAACCGCTCGCCCAAGCCTCTTGGACCTAGTCGCAGGTATGATGTGGGTGTGGATGTGTTCATGTGTGGGTGTGAATGGGTGTGTGCAGTGCAAATTTCTGGTTTCTTTGGAAAGTCAGTTATGTCAAGTAATGCTTTGCTGGGACACACAGTTGAAAGGATGTCTTGCTAAAGCAGACACAAGAGAAAGGATGTTTTGCTACAGCAAACATAAGAAAGGAAACATGATATTAGGAAAGAAAACTATAACCCAACTGATAGTGGATGACCTGGATGATATTGGTACACTTTGCTATTCCTTACTAGGCATCATTTGTTGTGATTTCATAGAAAGAAATGCACCAAAAAAACTTCTAGTGGTGTTCTGGGGGCTTTTTGCCGCTTCTGCAGACTCAGGCCAATTGGCAGAGTGAAATAGAAGTTTCTGGATATGTCAACTGATACAGACTCACATAGAGTTTTTCAAAGACAGACTCATATGGTGTTTTGATGAGGCAAGACCCATGGGAGGACACATGGTGTTTGGAGGGAGTATAAATAGGACCCAACAGACAGTAATGGGGGGAGAGGACTTGCATAGCTGGCTTTTCAACATTTCGCTGGTCTCAAGTCTTCTTTGCTGATCTTCACTTTGTTGAGAGAGGCACAGCAGAGAACTTCTCCTGGTGTCCCTACTGGTCCTGGTGGCTCCTGCTGACTTGTGCTGATTCAGCTGAGGCCTGGCTGTTTCTGCTGGGTTGTGCCACCACTGCTGATTCATGTTTGCTATCCTGACACAACTGAACTAGACGCCTGATATCCTGACAATTAGAGATTGAAATCACCCCCAAAGAACTATTTCTAAACAGGTCCACTTCCCCAGTACCCTAATAACCTTTCTTTCCCACTACCATTGAGTGTGGTAGGCTTGAAGGGAGACTAAAGCATTTCAGAACCCTTATTAACAGTAGGTTTTGAAACGTTTAAGCCTACAGTGTGTGCAGCCTGTGTGCTGGGCCCTGGGAAGCCACACAGAGAGCACTGCAAGCGCTAAGGCCCTGAGGCAGGCTACAGCCTGCTGGAGTAAAGGGCAGGAGGAAGGAAAGGAGGAGGGGACGTTGGAGAAGCTGGCTCAAAACACACACCAGGCAGAGTTACGGAACCAGGTACAGCTATGACTACAGGACAGAAAACTGGCTCTGTGGGCAGTGAGATAGCTCACGCAGCACAGTGCTTGCTGTGTGGTGTGCATGCCTCTAATCCCAGGTTTGAGAAGGTACAGACTGGAGGATTTCTGGGGCTCACTGGCAAACTAGGCTAGCTGAAGCATAACTTCCAAGTTCAGTGAGAGACACTGAGAGATGGCTCAGCAGGTAAAGCACATG